TGGGTGAGATGTCACGTCCTCCTTGTAACTGTGACCACGAGAAACAAACTGTGCTATTTGTTATTGAATTGTCCTCTCCGACCATATCCAGAATCATAGCAAGGCTTCTTACCGAAAATCTACGTATTTTGAATGTTTTCTTACCATTATGGACAACAGTTCTGACTTACTTGAAATCTAACCATTTCTATTTGTACAACAAATAGTGAACGTAATACAATAATAGAAAATAAACCGCCCGTGAACCTCGTGCACGTGGGTTTTGGTTATATGTATGTCCCTACAAAACAATGATTCATTGACGTCTTATTCAAGGAATACACTTAATCATTTTCATGGAATTTTTATATCTAAAAGCTTTTCATGTTTTCTGTTGTAGTTTCCATTAATGATATCTGAAGCCTTATTGAGCGTAATCAACCATATACAGTTACAGGTTAATAACCTTACATTGTAAATCCAGTGTGTTATTTATGTTTACTTGTTTCTGGGATATGTCATCATTTGGCGCTAGAAAAACGATTCGGAAAATCATCCATTCAAATACTGCTCTTGACCATTTTTAATATCTAAATTACTCATCCTGGAATTGTTACATGCTTTCCCTCTCAAAAATGTAAGCATATACCCCAGCTTCTACCCACTAACTTCTGCTTTTAACTTGAACTCCAACCTGTCCATAATATCATGTAACTTAGGTATACGAATTCGTCTGACATTTGAATGCTTCCAATGACGCTTTCACGTTCTCAGTGTGTCTCTTGCATCTTTTCGGGGCGTACTCTCTCTTTTCTACCGTCTCCAAGTAGCTGTCAAAACAACCATGTCCTGTGAGGAACTGTGCAGTATAGTAACCTAGCGACACCGCTCCCTTGTCAATCCAGGTTTTAATATCTAGTATCAGCCGTCTGCCCCAATAGCAAATATACTAAGTGACATATAAATTCGAACACCCAGTTTAAATGATTTTATTTTAATAAAATGATTGCACTGCTTTAAAGCCCTTTGACCTTTAATAATGTGTGGATGCACCCTGTGCTACGCATTCTCCAACGCGCCTAGGCATGCTTCTGATCAGGTGGTCAATGTCCTCCTGTGGTATCTCATTCCAGGCAACCACCAACTCCTCTCGAAGTGCTTCTAGAGTCTGAGGAGGACGTTGCAAATTGAGCAATCTCCTACCCATCATATCCCACACGGTGCTCAATTGGGGATAAGTCGGGAGATCTTGGTGGCCATGGTAACAATGTGACATCATTATGTTGAAAGAAGTCTATTGTGACTCTTGCAACATGTGGTCGGGCATTATCTTGTTGGAAAGTTGGATCTGCCAGGGTGTCAAGATAGGGTAAAAGATGGGGTTCTAGAACTTCGTGGATATAACGCTGCGCGTTCATGTTACGTCTGATGAAGATTAAAGGTGACCTGGAACCATAAGCTATAGCACCCCAAACCATAATGATGAACATGTCTTTCAACAAAAAACTGTGGATTCCTCCTTTCACCACGTCGCCTTCTAACCCTGGCACGACCATCGTGCATGCCTAAACAAAATCGAGACTCGTCACTAAAGACAATACTGTTCCATTCCTGATCCCAGAGTGACCGTTGTCTGCACCACTCAAGGCGATTACGTCGGTGTTCTCGAGTTAAAGGGAGGACCCAGTGTGGCCGGTATGAAAACAAGCCAAAACTTCTCATTCGTCGATAAACACTTCGCATGCCAATAGGTCTTCCGTGTTCTGCAAACCATTTATTTGCAATGGACCTGGTAGTGGAGAAACGGTCCCTTAAGGCCAATGATGTTAGGCGGCGATCTTCACGGTCTGTTGTTCTACGGCGGCGTCCAGTGCCCCTTGCTCTCTGCGTACGGCCTTCTCGAAGCCATGCCTGACAACACCTAACCACAGTGTCTACACTTCTTTGCACTCTAACTGCAATTGCCCGAAAAGAAAGTCCAGCTTCCCGAAGTCCCACTATACGGCCCCTATCAAACTCACTAAGTTGACGAAATCGTACAGGTCTCCGTACTCTAGGCATCGTAACCGATCGTAAAGAATGTCAAGAACCAAAATCCGCCAACGTTGATTCTTTACTGCGGCTGAAATATTCATTTTTAGAGCGTTAGTGAATTAAAAAAAGTAGTATAAAAACCGGAATGTCCAACTGATAAGGCTGAAAATTTTTTCACTTGTTATTTACAGAAAGATAAATACATTCACCAACTTTTATTAAAATAAAACCATTTAAACTGGGTGTTCGGATTTATATGTCACTTAGTATATTTATTGCGCACCCTTGACGCATTCAAAAATGCCGTTTTGGATCTGCCAGCCAACGAATGGAATAAGTGCTTCGAAAATTGGTTCGAGCGAATGCAGATGTGTATTAATATTCGTGGAATACTTTGAAAAACAATAAAGTCATTTAAAACTACCTACCGTGTTGTTTTATTTCCATATGCAAAACTTAAAAGACATCCCTCGTATATATTTCAACATGAACAGGGATAGTTCATGCTTGCGTGAACAGCATATGTTGTCAACAATTATCCCTGAGTACAGACAACATTATCTAGATGCAAAAAAACAACATCAGAAGCTTGTCAGAAAAACAAAAAAGGCATATTATCAACAAAAAATATCCAATTCGCACAACGTGATGAAGGCTGCCTGGAATGTGGTTTCTGACATAAACGGAAGAAATAGAGTATCAAAGAACATTGTACTGCTTGATAATGGATTAACCATTAGAAATCCACAAGAAATTTCTAATTCTTTTAACTACTATTTTAAACAGGCTCCTTTGGATATTATTCAAAGAATATCTAAGGATACAAATCCAGTTCCAAGTGATCATACCTGCGACCAAAAATCTTTTATGTTTATATACCCATTCTTGGAGGAAGAATTCTACAAACTAATTAATGATAAGTTAAAAAACAAGCGTTCTTCAGGCACCGATGAAGTTCCGAATTTCTTAGTCAAGAAAATATTATTGTACATAACCAAACCTTTTGTTTTTCTAGTTAATTTATCATTCTGCACTGGTGTATTTCCAAACAACCTGAAAACAGGAAAAGTAACTCCAATTCATAAGAAAGGAGATACTTCTTTGGTTAGCAATTACAGACCGGTGAGTGTTCCATGCTGTTTTTCCAAGATTCTTGAGTATTGTTTTTTAGATCGACTTCTGCTGTTCTTGGAAGGCAATGACACTCTATCATCCAATCAACATGGTTTCCGTATTGGAAAATCAACCATGACCGCATGTCATTCATTTATCAACAGGTTAGTCTATTGTATTGAGGCAGGAGAATGCCCAGTTGGGATATTTTGTGACCTCAGTAGGGCGTTCGACTGTGTCAGTCATGACATACTATTAGCCAAACTAACAGACTATGGAATTGGTGGTTCAGCCTACCTGTGGATAAAATCGTATTTGCAGAATAGGTCACAATTCGTGGCAATAACACACAACAACGCATAAATATAGGCGTACCACAAGGATCTATATTGGGGCCAGTGCTGTTTCCCTTTATATAAATAACCTGGAGCAATGTTTCCCTGAAGCACATTTCACGTTGTATGCAGACGATGCCTCCATCATTATATCAAATAAGGACGAGGCTGATTTAATAAATAAATGTAACACCTTAGTGTACAACATCAATAGCTGGTTTGAAGAAAATCAGTTACTTCTTAATAGCGAGTTATAAGGTTCCATAACATTCAAAAGTCGATACCAGCGATTCAGCTTGTTCTGAACGGTTCAGCACTGCAGAGTGATAAAAGCACTAAGTTTTTAGGGCTCCACTTAGACCAATGTCTCAACTTTAAAGGACATTGCGATTATCTATCATCAAAAATAAATTCACAAGCATATTTATTCAAGAACCTGAGATCTGTTTTCACAGAGAATCAGCTATTGATGTTGTATCATGGTCAGGTTGAGTCTCGCATGCTGTATGCTTTGTGCTTCTGGGGTTCATCGGTGAACGCTTCTAAGGTGTTCCTAAGTCAAAAACGGCTGGTGAGGTGTATGGTGCGAGCAAGCAGCACTTATAGTTGCAGAGAATTATTCAAGAGATTAAAAATAATGACACTGCCTTCGCTTTTTCAATATGGCTATCTATACTTTTTTAAACAAAGATGTTTTCACCTTGAATAGTCATATACATCAAATGGGCACTCGCAGACAAAACGACATCCATATACCTTTTGCGCGTTATAAGTTAGGCAGCAGATCACCATGTATTTTAGGTCCTAAAATTTTTAACAACCTGCCTGACTATAAAAAGGATCACCTCAATAGGCCACTTCAAATCTGAGCTGAAAAGCTACTTTATAAGTAACTGTTTTTATGCAAATAGCGACTTTGTCAGTTTTTAAATATCGCTTTTTATCACTAATTTTAACTTGTTTGTTGTTGGATGTTATTTGTTTGTTTTTTTATTTATTTATTTACTCTGTAAATATTTACTTATTGTATCTTTTTGACGAAACCTATACATGTTCATGCATGTCTAATGGAAAATAAATTCATTATTATTATTGTTATTATTATTATAGTTGCGATTAAACGTGTAATAGGACGCAAATTGCCACCACGAAACCTCTGGCACAGGGTCAGTCTTGTCTTAAAGTTCTGGATAACGTTTTCGCACAACTGTGGCTCTATTCGGCACACAATTAATGCCGTTGGGCTAAAAACTGTTTGAGGAAAAAGACCTCCCCTATCCGCCATTTCAATTTGGCAAACGATGCTCCAAACACCCTGTATTCCAGATAACATTTTTCCGCTACCGTAAAATTAATAGAGGTTCTTGGAGCAGATAAGCACAGAACTTCTTGAAGTCGTATTAAAAATTAGGAATCACAACTTCCAACTGGGAGAAGTATTTGGAGTACGCCAATGGCCTTCCCTTAATCCTGGGAATCTCCACGTGACGTCACGACGCCTCTATAAAGTATTCTAACCGCGAAGCGCGTCGGTCACTCAGGATATCCAATTCGCGGCAGCCGCAGTGAATTGTGAAAGCCACATCTGTACACTTTGCGTTCACAAGTGCTACGCGTATCATCGTCTCTATAGAATGGCGAAAATGAATGCTATCGGTGTTATTGTGGTGTGTTTTGTGGTTGTTGCTGGGCCCGTAGCCTTGGTTAGGGGGTCGGCCATTCCGATGTGGGAGTTCCTTAGCAGAGAGGAAAAGGTGAGCACATGATAATATCTGTAAAACTCTGGATTTTAGCTTGAACTTGAATATATTATCAGATCTGTTCTGGACGTACTTGAAAGATCGTATGCCGACTGATTTTCCCAATAAATACAGAAATGAACTTTTTTCATCAACAGTTGCATAAAAAAAATAAAATGCTTCAGCTTGAGCTTCATAAAGCAATCGGATGTATAAATAATGATAAAAATCGTCGTTGAAACTGTACAATTAAATACGACAAAAAAAAGTTTTGAAAATGTTGCAAAAAACAAAAGTTGTTTCATTGCAGATATCAAAAACAAAAAAATATATGATGTGGAAAAGCTTACTATAGAGGAACCGCAGCATATTTGGAAAACTGGATTGTTTTTTGGAAATACGTTGCATATAAACTAGATAGCAAATTAAAAAATGCATTAAATTATTAGGTAATTATTAGATTTTAATTGTATAGACAATCAAACAAAACAAAAATCGGGACGGACCCCTATCAAAATATTTATCAAAATAAAAAAACTGCAAAAGAATAAATTTGCTTAGGGTGTAGGTGACTTAGAATATAATATTCCAAATTATATTAACCTTTTTTTGAAATTGTTTACACTTGTTCTAAGAAACTAATATATTTCTCAACTTTGCAATCCTTTTACAGTCATTGGTAATTAATCTGTCCTACAAAACAGCTTATGATTATCAATATTATTAAGTAATCAGTAACAATAATGACAAATCAGTAGTCAGCCTGAACTTATATTTTATTTTTTTTAGTTATGTTCTTACAATAATCACAGATATACACAAATTCTAAATTAACAACGTGATATCCTAACTTAAAATTTCATGTCACATTTTTAATTCTAAATATATTCACAAGATCAAAATAACATTGTGAACTAACAAGGACATACGGGTGGTCCCAGAAGTACCCGACCCAACGTAGAAAACACAAAATTTTTGTAAACAAATGTATTTGAGCTCTATCCACTTTTCCCAGCGATGTTCAGTAAGTTCGATACCCTTTTTATAATAAGAACTGTCTTGCTTCTCAAAATAGCCGTTAACTGCGGACATCACTTCTTCATCCTTGGAAAATCTTTGACCACTGAGCCATTTTTTCAAGTTTGGAAACAGAAAATAATCCGATGGAATTAAATCTGGGGAATAGGGTGCATGAGGTAGCAATTCAAACTTTAATTTGTTAATTTTGGCCATTGCAATAACGGATTTGTGAGCTGGTGCATTGTCTTGATGAAACGACACTTTCTTCTTAACCAAATTCGGCCGTTCTTGCTTGATTTCATCGCTCAAACGTTGCAATAAGCCGTTGATAGTTTTACCTTGTTCAAGATACATTGCATACTTTCTAATACAAGATATTTTTCAAACAACTATCGTAATCTCTAGGTCAGGCCGGGTACTTCCGGGACCACCCTCGTATAACTGTGCAAATAATTGCAATGACGATTTTACGTATCATAGTAAACGATTATCAATGATTGCTTTCTTACCAAAAAAGTTTTCAAAGTGGACGTCTTGTTCCTATGTCAAGATAGCGCCCTGTTTTTAGTACTTGTGGTTTTGTGTAATTTACGACGTTATATTATATACCTACAAAGAAAGAAAAAATTAACAACAAAGACTATGGATCAAGCTGATTGAAATTTAACAGCTCTCTTGATGCAATTTAAATACTTGTTCTTAAATTCGGGACTCAAAGCATTGTATAAAAATGCAGCACTGTACGTGAAAGAACTCTGAAATGAAGCTGTAGAGTGAATAGGAAATGTAATATATCATGTATATTATACCTAAACATCAGATTTTATCTTAAGTAAATAGGCTTGTGCATAAGTACAATTATGAATGAATACATTTGACAATACGGGTGTCCGCAAAGTTGGGATTTTCCTTTTCAGAAACAACTACCCTTGAAATAACAAAGGTAATGTGTAGTGAAACGAGGGCGACCAATTAAAGAAAAAATAAAGGAAAAAGTACTCACTCTCCAGTTGACGAGAAGGGCTAAGTACGTCTCTGCCTGAAATCGAAAGTTATTTACCCCATTACGCGTGAACGTAGATTCGTCTGTCACCAATATGCACTTCAAAAAGTCCGGATTATTGTCATGTTGATGCAACAACCACTCACAAAACCGCACTCTTGCTGGAAAATCGTCAGGTTGAAGGGCTTGTACACGTTGGACGTTTGCCACACTTTAGTTTTTGATACTTGCACTTCTCTAGCCACGTCTCTAGTGCTTGTTGAGGGATTCTCGTCTACGCGATTCAGTAGTTCTTCCTCAACTTGCACCATTCGTGGTTGTCTAGGCCTCCCACTGTGCCCACCTCGAAATTCCTCCAAATGGCCCGTATCCCTGACTCTCTGGACCAGATACACAAATCTGCGGGGCCTTGGATGATGTCGTCTAGGGAAACGATCTGCATACACTCGCGACGATTCTGTAGCATTTTGAAGACATTCGCCATAAATTAACAACATATCAACGAGTTCATTATTGGTGTATGAGTGTGCCATTATTATTATTTTTTTTTGAAACGCAATCGATTGTACGGGTTCGTTACCTCTATACGCGTGGACCCTTTACCGTCGGTTGAAGGTTGCATACTGACCTGACACACTGACCCCGACCCAGTTCTGTCGTCGGGTTCAGCTAGTAGCCGGTACCAGTCTGGGATATCGCGGCGGGTCGCGGCTACAGGACGGTATTCAGATATTTTTGATGTTCCAGAGCCCTTTATCTCGGTTCCCGCAAGACATTGGTGTATATGGTACTAAGAAAAATTGCTTATGTTTTCAATATCTACACGTCGTGTAAAGGAAAACCCCAATGTATGTCTTGTTTTCCTCCAGTCTAATTTTACGACTACCAGAAACATGGTCAAAGTTCCTTAATCTGCAAATCAACCTAGCACAATTATTTTGCACAATTTGAATTCAATTTCTAGTAATAACATCAAGACACGGGTAACGTAGAATATCACAGTAGCTGAAAATGAGCATACCCAAAGATGAGTATAATTTTTACCTTAGTTTAAAATTAAAAGTTGCTTTATCAGCATATAGCGATCTCAGTGTCATATAGATTTTGACATGACTGGTGAATCTAAGTTTGAAATCGATCATTACGCCAAGAATTTTAACCTCATCAACCGGGTACTGAGATCCAATATCCAATTTAGAAATTTACTGAGGGGGGTTATGGTTTTTTGAAAATCCAGACACTTTTTGAATATCGTGGCTTATTGGTGCCTATATCATCAGTATCAAAATAGTGGACCAGTTGGGTACCTTCCGCGAAACACCGGAGCTCACAGAAACTCGCAGATCCACAACATATATCAAAATCAACAGGGGATCCATACGAGGGATGTATTTTAAGTTTTGCATATAGAAACGGATCGAACGTCAGTACTGAATCTTAACCTTACTCTTTAGTAAACTTACATTCAAAGTTTCACAACAATATGTGCAGTGCTCTCACTACAGTGAATTTTTAAGTATCACCAAGACATTAGACTTAGGAGTAAGAAAATTAGTTTCTCGTTGGATGAAGAGCAGAAAGCAGCCAGGGTTAATTGGTGTCAAAAAACGCTTGACCGTTTCAACGTGATGAATCGTGGATTTACTGTTATGAACCAAAAAATAAACGACAGTCGGCTGTTTGGGTGTTCCAAGGTGAAGAAAAGCCAACAAAAGTCATCCGTTCTCGAAGTGTTTCGAAAAAGATGGTCGCGACATTTGTATCAAAAGCGGGTCATCTTGCAACAATTCCTCTTAATGAGCAAAGAACTGTTACTGCGGATTGGTATACCACCATTTGTTTGCCAAAAGTCATCACCGAGCTTCGAAAAATCAACCCCCAAGGAAGAATCATCCTCCACCAAGACAATGCAAGCTGATTTGATTTTTAGCAATAATGAATTATTTATTTATTTATTTATTAGCAGCAGCAGATTCAACATGTATACAGTTTTTTACATCATATTAAATATATAGACTTTACAATTATTGTATAATATTTAAATCCAGCTATCTATTCTTAAAATTACCCACTATTTCTAATAGTTTTAGATGCACAATTGTATTCAAAATACTGTGTGTGCACCCCATTCACATTGTTAAGTGTAACTTTTTCATTGAGGTTCTTAATTCTAGTTTACAAAGAGAGAAAGAAATATAAAAATAGATCAAACAAATTCAAAGCTATTATGTTTTATCTTAAATTTTAGGAACTTAATACCTTTAATGCTACAGGTTTTTATATTACATAATTAATGGCGTATTGACTATCAATAATCCATCTTGTTAATTCCTTATTAACAGTAGAATATCTCAATCTCTTAATACTATTTGGCACATCATTATAAACTTTTGGACCTATACAGTAAACGTGACTCTGGCAAGCTGTGTGTCTAGGGTTTTGCAATTTTACTTTTGCATGAGCAGCACTTCTTGTATTTTGGCCATGCTGTAAGTATTCTTTCTAGAAATCATATTTCATCATAAATCTTATAAGTGATTTTAAATAGAGCTGCTCTAGGTTCAGTATTTTATTGTCTCTAAAAACAAGTTCAGATGAATATCGTTTCTGTTTGAAAAGCATAATTTTTATGATCCATTTCTGAGCTACCTGTAACTTGGATAACGTTGCTAAACTTGTATTTCCCCAAACTACGAAACCATAATTAATTACAGATTCTGTTAAAGCAAAATAAACTGTATTAGGAGTTCTGAAGTCTAATATTTCCCTTAATTCATAAAATTTGTGAATAAGTTTTCTAATCTTTGTTGTAACATACTCAACATGATCTTTCCAAGTAAGAAGTTCATCTATAATTATTCCTAGATATTTCAAGCTCGATTTCTTATTTATATATTTGCTACATGCACACTGAGGTGCAAAGTCACAATATGAGTCATGAATCTTAATGCAGTTTAGATTAGGCAAAGTACGCGAGGAAAGGGAAAAAGTC